TAGCATTATTGTGGATTAATATGGTACAGATAGTCAAATCAGAAAAACAGGAAAAAACTTCTATAAGAAGTATTCATGGACACATCAGTTCAACAAGTATCTTCAACATGTTAAAACCCCATAATCGCATCCATGGGTCAAGCTTTGCTCCCTTTGAAGCATCATGCAACTGCAGTAATTCTACCAATGCAAAGAGAGACAAAGTAACACTGCAGTTGTAACAGATTTCATTTCATAACACTCCAGCAGCTGAGTTCATGTTCATCTTCGGAAAGTAACTGGGGGTAGTCCAAGATGTAAATTTAGGTAGCTTATCAAAAAGAGAATTTCAATCATTTTCACCTGAATCAAAGACAGTGCACGTGGTTGCTATGCTGCTTCACCTAAAGCAGAGAAAATGTCTGACAGCAAACACTGGATTCATGCAAACTCATTGTTAATGCTCTGCTTTCAGCAGCATTTGTCTGTACCACAAGGAACCAATAAAATTCAAGCCCATCCTCAGTGCTGCAGGGTAACCAAACAGTGAAGGGAAAAGCTCTCCTTGCTGCATATCAGTGCAGGCTCAGGATGTGGTGCTGAAAGTATCTCAAACAACAGCTGATTACATATAACAGTTCAGACATCACAGTACCAGAAACTAGTCTCCAGCATGAATCTGGCCAAGAAAAATAGGTTTATTTTAGAGTAATTATACACCCATACTCAGAATTCCCAAGATTCAGGCTTGCAAACCCAAACAAACAGGAACTGTGATTTCCAAAAACAATTCCCTCATTAGATCATATTCAAACAGCTCAAAGCACATAAGCTTTACTAGACAGCCCATTTCATAGCTAAATCAAGCAGGCACAGGCACTGACATCTTGGTGAAGCACACCGCCACAATCTATTTTTTCCTTCTTTTTTATTTAGATATAAATATCTAAACCAAATACCTCCAAAATGCTCTTGGTATATATCCTCAGGTATATTTGCAGGACAAGTGGGAGAAAGGGGAAAGGAAGTAGGTATAGTATTTATTGTTATGTTTTGCAGAATAGAGGAGCAATTGGGAGGCAAAGGGGTAGGAGGCATGCTGGATTTCTTAAAACTAAAACAAACACAGCCCACTTCCCCCCCACAAACACAACAAGTAACTAAAAAAAGAGTGTATCTTATTGGTGGCTACAGCTGCAGTGGTGTCACCTCTGGCTCATAAAGGTACCATAACCTTTAATATATGGGCATATTACCACTAAATGAAAACAAACCAAAAAACCCACAACAAACCAAAAACATTTTCTGTGCTCAGAGGCCTTACTCCAGACACTCCAGCAACTGTTTAGCATAGCTAAATGAAGCAAGGAGATTGTCAACCTTCAGATTTTCAGAAGATGGGCAAACATTTTGAGAAAGGATTCGAGCAGTCTGAACCTATAAAAAATAAGATCTACGAGGTCATTTATAGGTATATTTTCTATGTACACTCAACAGCACGAACAGCTGCCCCCCATCTCCTCATCTGGGAGAAAATACTCCTAAAAACCTTCCAGCTCCAGGTGACATGAATTTTCAGACATATGACTTTTTCACAATTTGTCTTTCAAAAAATTTCTTCAGAGCCACTTAGTTCAAAAAAAAGTCTTTCAAAACATAAGCTCTACACAAAATGCCATCAGTGCCATTAGCCAGCAGCTACACACAAAGCTTGATTTTTAAAATTTTGTTTTACATTTAGCTACTTTATATTACCAAATCAATCAAGTGATTCACAAGATACAGTAACGTGGGATATTTATGAAAAAAATTAAGCACTAGCATTATATACATCATAAAAAAGGTGCCACAACTTAATCTCAGAATAAGCTGATAGTTAAGTTTCAAACATTTCAGTTGCCAAGGCACACCATACCTTCCTCATGCCTGTACACAAGGTTTGGAATGTGAGAACTAAGTGGCAACAGCAGAAGTACAGCTGAACAGACAGCGATGACTGAAGCAGGATGAGTCACACAGAAGGTGCGTTTGAACAGGCAAATCCCTGACAAAGTTCTGCCCAGAGAAGGAAATTGGGAAACACAACTTCAAGGACCTATATATGGCATCTTATGCAAAACTTTTTCAAACTACCAATTCCCCATTGCAAAGGGGTGAAAAGCAATTAGGAATTACACAGTTAACTTGCCTTTCGCTTCCACACCCTTCAAAATAAAATTCTGCTAAAGACAGAAGCTGGTCACCACTGTAATGTGACCATTAGAGGAAATAAGATGCAGCAAAACTTTAGAACAATTTTGCTTCTGCCACAAGACGCCCTTGAACAGACCAATTTCTCTGCAATAACTACATCTTGTTTTGAAAGAAAAGCTCTTATAAACTGTGGAACAGTTTACTTGAATTATTCAGACTTGCCACTTAACACTGGTTACATTTCTTCATATGTTTTGTCTAACTAGTTCAAATTTAAGGAGAGAAAAGTGCAGAGGAAGAGGTGGTATTGGGCTTTGTGTCTTTCTTTTGAGGGGGAGGGCTGTTGGGTTGATTTTTGTTTTCTTTTGATGGGAGTGTGAAGTTGGTTTTTTTTAAACAATGCAGACTTTGCCTGAGGCATTCTTAAGTTAACTGTTCCTTTAACCCACTGGCCAAGTGCAAAATCTCTGTTTGTCTCATCAGGTTCTTAGCGGTTATGGGTACAACTGCTCTTCCCCGTTGCTGTGACTTTACTAGATTACACCATCTCCAATGAACTCTGACGCCTGCCAGTAATTCTGTAAATCTGCCTGCTTCAAGCACTCATGGGTATACCCTAAACAAACAGCTGGGTACAGTGGGAAGAGGCTGGTGGGGGAGGTTGTGCATGTGTTCATTTTCAAAAAGGAGCTACTATGCTAGAGGCTTCATCCTCAGAACATCCATGGAACTCTTCTACCCCAGAACTATGCCTCTGTTACCAGATTCTTCAGGCATCTACATTCAACTCAGCTGCTTACACAAGCCAAATTTAAAATGCATGAATGAAACATAGTTTCCAAAATTTGTATGATCGTCACATGCAAAGCATACTTTAACTTAAGTCAGTGCATTTGTTCACACAGCTCACAGCAGGTTCATTTTTAAACACTGATGAAAAAGCAACTCATATCTTGCCACGCTTTGCTATAAAGAAAACTGACAGGAGAAAGAAAATTCATCATCCACTAATGAATCAATGGGCAAAACCCTATCGATACACATGGAACAGTGCAGCAAAAGTATGATATGGAACTGACTGCTTGAGGTAATCTCAGGAATATTAAGTTGCAATCAATTTGCTAACATAATATACAGCACATTAAACAAAACTTGCTACTTGCATGAAGTTACATGGTTCCACATAGCCCAAACACATTCGTTGATTCATACCATCCTACAGACTTCCTATAGCAATCCGTAAGTAATCCATAAGTACAGAATTTTACATTTTTCCCGGAAATATATCTATGCAATTCAGCATGTACTATAAAATCTCTATAAAAGACATAAGCCTTCAATGCATGAGAAAACATTCTTAAATACTAGCAAAAAAAAAAAATCTGTACCTTAAAAACCAAAATGTATGTGTGCCATAAATAGATGGCAATGAATTAAGATGCAACTGTATATATGGTATGACTTGAAATACTGCAAAGGAAAACATATCAGCCCAAACAAAAGTAAGGAAGATTCCATCAAACTGAAGGTGATCATCAATGGATAAAGGCTGCAACTTTCCACAAAGGAAATACTTGAGAAGGATTGCAGTGCCTCCTACTGGAAAAATTACTTGCCCTTTAAACATACACCACTCGGAGCTTAAAAGCTAAGTAACAGTCTTGATGTGGCAATACCTTTGGAAATATTTCAGAAGCATGCAGCAACTTAAACATTTCAAAATTCTGACTTGTGAAGTCTTCAAATGTATTGCAAAATATCTGTACACAAGAAGACTGAATCATCTTGAAAAACCTTTCTTTTAAAACATGCGTGTTACCTCTGTGAGGATGGTGTAAAGCTTTGGTGGGTGAATTTAATTTCTGACTCATATTAACAGATAGCACGCAATGGAAATAATGTAACAGAGATTGCTGCTCCCTGCTTTGTATTATTTTATTTTTAAAAAAAAATAAAGGAAGGAGAAGAAACATACCACTGTGATTGGGTAGAGAGGATTCTGAATTGACAACAGGAGAACTTTATTTCCACCAGACGGGTCATCAGTGTTCCCTGGCCGAGTAATTCTCTTACTTGTGGAGTAGTTGAAGAAGGCCTGCTGCCCAGCAATGTACACAGCTTCATCTGCTGCAAACGTCACACACTTCTTCGCACTTTCTACGTTCTCAAACTCCACCAGAGCTTGGCGCTTAAATGGCATCATCATGACATAGCTGGTGAGAGGAACATTACAGTCAGTTTTCCTACATTCTTACTCAAAACAGCTCCAAAGTTCCATAATGGTCATATATGCTATGTTTTTCCTCAACAATTCCTAACAAAGACACAAAAGGAAGGTAGATCTCCAGGCTTGTGCTTCCCAAACCTGGTCAACGCATTTCCAAACATTCACACAAAACAAAGAAATGCAGCTATAAGATAAATAACTTCCTGAAAAGGTTTAATGCACAAAATATTTAAACCAATACAGCAAATCATTAATCATGTACTAACTTACTAGAACTACATATAATATTAAAAACAGACTTGCCAAAATCGTGTATGGGGTAAAGGATCAAAGAAAACGCAAATTAAAAACCACAAGGTTGATAAACAACTTTGCTGTTGCTAAGAAATTTAAAATACAGTTTTTGACATAAAACTGCCTTCGAGGAAATAAAACAGAAGTATTCTAGTCAACCAAATTCAGACACAGACAAACTCAAGAAGCTTTGTCAGCAAATTTGTCTTTTGTCGGAAAAGTAAAACTCACAGGCTAAAATATACCTATTTATATTCCTGACCAAGTTGTTCTCACCTCATTTGATTTATTTAAGGTACTGGTACAAGTATAATTCAATTAGTTCAATATTAAGGCAATGAAAAATCCTACTGCACGATATACAAAACCCTATTTGACTTCAGTACATGCATTTACTTGAAAAGAATGCATGTTTCCAAAAAGAAGTACTCAACTCAGAATAAACTGGCTCTACCCATTCACCTTTACTATTTTGTTCACCGATGAGGAATCTAGGCTGGATGAATCTTTAGGCTGAGGAACCTTTGCAGGGGCTGTCTCTGAATAACCATCTCATTCTGAAGATCCCACCATACCACAAGCACAAACCATAAGAAAAAGCATCATCTGCTGCTCTGTGGCCCATCCTTACTTTTGGCATATTCACTTACATCAAGATAACCACCCTGATGCTCTACTGCAATTCAGTTTAGCTACAGTTCCTATTAAGGCCAGGACTAGCTACGCTCCTGAAGCCTGACAGCAAACACCAGGGCACGCAGACAATGTAACTCTGCTTGATCAGATTTGCCACAGACAGAAATGGAGAAACTCTGCACAACTGAAAAACTTTACTATTAATCAAGTTCTGGATTTCAAATGACTATCATAATGTATTTCAAGAGGTCCAAGAGACTTTTAAATAATGCTCCCAACTTGTCTGGAGACATGATGTTATACTCCTTGACCTACCATATTGTTCCAAACTTTTCAAGAGCTTCCACGAGATCTGCTTCCACAACTGATTCACACAGCCCTCGGACATGGACCACAGGAGAAACAGAGACTTTGTGATGACTTCCCCCAGCATCCTAGTAACAAAATGACATTTTAAAATGCAACACATAACAAAGGATACTGTTATCATTAACTAAAATCAAATATTTGGCAGACACTACACTAGGTCCACAAGCAGCCATCTAAATGCACAATCTAAGCGTGTATTCAATAATTTAACTTTTCTTCCCAAACAGATTCCCAAGTTCAATTGCTGAAGTCTACTTCAAATAAAAAGCTTTGCAGATTTAAGTAATCTGTTTGCACACACAAGGATTTTCTAATAAAAAAAAAAAAGTTGCCCGTTTACACTGGTTGAATTGCAGGAGGTCTTACACCCTATTCATTAAAAGCACTTTTAAAAATAAATAGGACGTGTCCAACAGCTAAAATACTTCTCACACTCTTCCTGTTTGTTGATGCCAATATTTCTTTGAGACAGGCTGGGGGAATAAAAAAGCAAGAACAAACATGGATCATCAGCAAACTGAAGGAAAATTGAGTATTTTCCTAATGCTTGCAGAGCTGTGCTCCACAATGCAAGAAAATGCCAGCTCGGGACTCTACTTAAACACAAACTCCCTTCTCATTCTGAACACTCTTCATACATGTTTTTTAAACCTCACAATTTCTGTACAGATGGGCATGCTCTGTCTTTTCACCCCAAGGCTGACTACCATTAATGGATCCAGATGTATATTAGCACACAGAATTCCCACTATGAACATTATTCGGACCTCCTGCTATGACTTCAGACAGTCTTGATTCTGTGTGACTGAAGAATTTGGCTTGGAATCAGCTCATCTTTCCATGCAAAGCCTGAAGTAAGGCTGAAATTTACCTAACATATTCTCAGACAGGGAGGATAAAAAAAAAAAAAACCCAAACAAAAAATTGTGTAAGAAAAAAACTAAGAGATAAAGGGCACATTCAAATAGACTGCACATACTCAGCATCCACATTTTCTACATGTAACAGCAGCATAAAGCTGACGTATTCAAATTTAGCAACTACATCAATGTGTTCAATTTAGCAGATAAATTCTTGTTGATTACTTTTTTCTAAGTAGTAGTATAACATCTTCTAGAACTAGGGAGAGATTCTCATTTGCAGCACAAAGAAGCATTCAGCTATAGTAATTAAGTAACCACAGTGATTGCTCTACTGCTAGACATTGCTCTCTTCCCTATCCATTTGAACTACAGATTCAAGGAAAAAACACATTCCAGATAACTACAAATAGAGTCACGTGTGTTTAACTCCAATGTTCCATATGCAGTTCTCACCAAACAATTATGTATTTTTTTCCTTAAATCAAGGATTTGACTATTCTGTTTCATCCAAAAGTACTTGTGACTTCCTCAGATGTCAGAACAATCTGCTGGGTAATTTTTTTAAGCTAAACTGACATTTAATTAATTTGCAGTGTGAAAGCATTCTAAGTGCTAACACATTTCTTTGAACAAGCAATGTGACAATTGTGGGGAACCACCACTAGTGATATTTGCATAAGACACCTTTATATCCTGAATCCATCAGCTCAGGTCTACTGCAGTAGCAGTGATCAAAGCAGTCATAAAAGTTTGATACTTTGAACTGCAAATGCTGAGGCAATTGCAGAAGGAACTGAACTACAGAGGTTTTATTTTCAGTTTGTATGTTCTTAACCCACATACACACTTTTCAAGGCTGAAAGAAGCACCTAAGGAAACCTTCAAATGCAACCTAACAATAACTACCACTTTTTCCTGCAAAGCCTATCACTCTAAGGTGTTAAGATAGCAGGCACCTTTTCTTTATTTACAGTGTACAGAACAATCAAAAGTTATTAAATCAATTATTCATTGTCCTGCACACTTGCTACTATATTAAGATCTAGTTAATACTCATGGTATGCATTTTCTTTTCAGCTTCTTTAATACATTCAAGGAATCTCACCTAACATTTCTGTCTAATCAGATGGTAAATATAAGCAACAATTTTCTCACTGAAGCAAAGACTTGCTACAAAGTGTATGACTACTAGCTACCTAGAACTTGGTACTCACTACCCTACTGAACTAGAACCTCCATAAATCAAGTCAGGCCTTGCAGAGAATGGATCATAACAGAATGGTATTTCGCTTTCCCTCCCCAGTTCAAATTTCCATTATAGTTTCAGTTCATGTTTCTGGGTCATACATATGCCTTTGCATTTTTAACTATTAGCAGATATTAGTAAATATAAATCCTTCTAACACCACAAACTCTCTCAATAATTAAGACTTTTACACTTGCCTCTTAAAACCCATTATGTATGAGTTATATGCACACCCACAGGTGCCCATACTTCTGCAACGGCAATTATTCTCAGAACCATGAACAAACACAAATTTTGCTTTCTTTTGTGGTTAAAGCAACACTTAGCTTTCTAAGCCAAATTTCCTTCTCATACACAAAGCATTTCAATTAGCAAAGTTGAGCAAGAGATTTAGCAAGAATCAGAAACTGCTGCTATTATAGTTGTATATATATGTATATATATGTATATATTATAGTAACTTGAGCAGAAGCTCAAGAAGCATGAAATAAAATTTAAAAACGCAAACAACAACAAAACTCCAACCAAACAAAAAAACCCCAACAAATACACAAAAAATGCAAACACAAAACACTGAAATCTCAGTCACCTGCCATGAACTTAAGGACTTATCTGCATTTCAGAACCTCATTTCTACAGATAAAACCACCCAGATTATAAATTACTAAATCTGAGGGTCTCTGCTTTATTTAAAAGTTTCCAGCCAGCAGCAGTAAACAGCAGCACAAGAACTGAGCATAAGTCAGCCCTGAGTCAGGAAGCCTCAAACTAACATTCACAGACATGGGTTGGTTAAAGACAGGAACATGTGCCAAAGGCATATGTTTGAATGCAAAAAAGTCTTCACAAAGGGCAGACACACATATTATTGTTTAACAGGTTTTGCAGCTACAAAGCTGTAGGATCAAGCAAATCTAGGCTCATCCTTAATTTCCTCTAGAAGGAGAAATAAAACCGCTAGACTACATGAAAAATCAAACATATCTGCAAAGTGTAAAGCGCATCTACAGCTAAGGTCAAAACATATACAACTCATCCAACTGCTGCTGTAATTTCTTCCCAGACATGAAAAACACAGGAGTTTGAGGAAGATCTCAGTCACTGTATCTTGCAAACTTTGTGTGCTGCAGCTGGCACAAAGATGAAGGTTACATCAAAGCATCTGCTCACATACAGACTAACCACCACCAGAATTTCTCTGCCTACAATGGAGTCTTTCAGTAACTGAGCTCCCACGATGGCACAAAAGCCCCATGCAAAACTCCAACACCACACTTGCACCCCACTGAACCAGGAGAACAGAGTAGCTAATGCTATTGCTATATACATGGCTTACGGAGTTTTGAAAGCTCAGTAATGATTTCCTGAAGAATCACGAGCTGGACAGAAAATGTAATTATTTAAATGAATAATGGAAACAGACTTCCTTGCAATGTGCTCAAGAGCAGTAACGAGGACAGAAAAGGTTTCCCTCAAGATCTTTCTTGGGCTTGGAATGTAAAAATGGTTAACACTGAAACTGAACTGAGACATAAAGGGAAGCATCTACATGAGCAAGCAGGTAAGTACAAACAAGTAACTTCACATATGTAAGACAGCAACAGAAGCAGCTCCAAAGAACGACTGTAGCACTTCAACATTCATTTTTTGGTGACCTATATAGCACTAGACAACACTTTAAAGTCATCATGGGCTCTAGATGAGATCTCTCTTGCTCACCAATTCCAGATTAGAATTTTTTTCACCATTTGCACACAAATGGGTCCTTTGTCCCTTTCTCCAGACACTTTCCAGTCACTATGCTTACATTAGTCCTATTAATTAGTACTAACTTTTTTTTGAGCGCCTGCTTTTTTACCTTTTCATTGCTTACTTCCTCCATCTCTCTTTTTCTCCTTACCACAAAATGATGGCACTCCTCCATATTCTGTCTGCCAGGTACCTAAATACACTGTTATGTCATTTCTCACCATTCAGATTATATATCATTCACTGTGAATGTTTTCCTCTCTCTGCATCCCTCTCAATTGCTCTGAATTGTCTTTTATAAATACGCTAGAACTGGGGAAGGGGCAGGAAAGCCCTAAAAGACTACTTATTAAGTGCCCAAACCTTCATTAATGCCTAACTATGGACTGATTTGCATCCAAGTACCTCACAGAATGCCAAGAGTAGCTAAAATTATCACACTATAAAGTCAAAATAAAGGTACATAACACACTTCTCAGCAATCTCAGTACTGCCCACGGTGAGTGGTCTGATGAGGAAAGGCTTTCATAAGCAAATATGCAGCATCCCATGCACACCCCTCAACTGCTAGGTGTACTACATGATGATGGCATTACTTAAAGCTATTTGCCCTGACAGACATCATCCCTCCTGATCACACCTGCCTGACTTGAGCAGTTCTGTCTCCTCCCTACACATGTACAGAGACACCTCTCTCCACGATACCTGAAATTTCTATAGCTTTGCAGTGACAAGAGTATTTCCAGTAAACAAAGAGGTAAGTGCCTCAGAAGAACCAAGCAAACAAGACAAAGCTAAGGTTCCATGGCAGTACAGGAATATATCAGTTTTGTATATCCTGGATTGGCTTTTCCTTTTATTGTTGTTGGTTGGTTTGGGGCTCTGAAGAACAGGAATAGGCAGGAAAAGGGGGTTAAGATTAATCACACCCCATACTCTGGAAGGCTACCCAGCAATTTAGTTTTGTTTTGGATGAGGAGTTTGGGTATCATTTCTGTTGTTTAATGCATACCTCTTCCTAGCAGTTTCTACCAGTGTCCTTTCAATGATTTCCACTACACTACAGAATGCAATACCTGCACTCTGACCCCTACTGCTAATTCTGAATTTGCCCTGATGTGGTCAGGTTGTTGGACTAGATGATTGTTACAGGTCCCTTCCAACTGAAATAGTCTATTCTGTTTTCCCTCTCTGCTCAGCACAGTC